TTCAGCCCTGAGCTGAACTTCAAGCATACTGGATTTACAGCAGGTCTGGGTAGTGGGGAGGTCACTACCTGTCCTTCCTCCCCTAGCATAAGAATATATTTTGAGGACAATGGATTGGAAGTCAAGCATCAACTGTGATTTGTAGGGGCTGCTCTGTAGTTGTGCATGCAGTACATCCTGAGGCAGTATCTGAAGTTGGTGGTACAGAATGTTGCAATTAATTAAAAATGCCTGCCATGGGTGTGCCAGACATGAGAAAGTTTGGGACACTCAAAATGACCTGGCACTGCATGGCAGTGGTTTTAGGGTCATCCTCTGTCCTTCTGTAAGGGAAGACATAAGAGGGAGTGGTGATTGCTGACCTTGTCGACTGACTACCTGGATATTCCTCTTGCAACTGACTAGTCACAGGTTCCCATGTCCCTTGACCTAGGCTAGGTTTGGGGTGGCTTAGCTTAGATGCCATCCTTCCCAACCTACCCTTCATCACTGACCCACACATAGTCCCACAGGGCACAGTTTTGGAAGGATTTCTATACCTCCTGCCCAGTGCTTCGCTGTGAACAGGCTGCCAAGTTTCTCAGACAACCCACCCAGGTCAGGCACTGCCCTCAGAGGACCAGCAGCTCAGTGGAGGTAGGCCTGCAGCTGCTAGAAAAAGGCCTCATTATTTATTTTTCATTGTGAGAGAAATACATACCAAAAAATTTACCATTTTAACTTTTTTTCCCCCCAGTGTTAGGAATGGAACCCAGAACCTTGCACATGCCAGTCAGGTGCTCTAACACTGAGCTACACTCCCAGCCCATCTTGACTAATTTTAAGTGTACAGTTCCATAGTGTTGTATATGTTCACAGTGTTGGGAAATAGAGCTCCAGAACATTTCCTTCTTGCAAACTGAAGTTCTGTACCCATTAAACAACTCCCCATTTCCCACTCCCATTCCCCCTGCCCCTGGCAACTGCTATTCTACTTCCTATCTCTATATACTTGACTACTCTATTTATCTCATATCAGTGACATCATGCATTATTTTTCCTTGTGTGACTGGCTTATTTTACTTCATATATTGTCCTCAAGGTTCATTTGTTTTGTACCAGGTGTCAGAATTTCCTTCCTTTTTAAAAGGCTGAATAATATTCCACTGTTTGTCTTTCCCACATTTTGTTTATCCTTTGACCCATCAGTGCACATTTGGGTTGTGCCAATTTTTGATTGTTGTGAATAAAATTGCTATAAATATGGGTTTCAATTCTTTTGGATATATACCCCAAAGTGGAACTGCTGGAACATAGAGTAATTCTACTTTTACTTCTCCTGATGTCCTGTGGGGGACAGTGGTGGTCAGGTCTCCAAGGAGGCAGGAGTTGGAGTCTCCCACCATAAGCCCTAAATTTCTGATTTTACAGATGAGAAAATTGAAGCCAAGAAGCCACTGTCAGTAAGTGGCAGCAGTAGGCCTTTGAACCCAGGTCTGTACTAACTATGGAGTCTTTGCTTTTAATCTCAGGGCCATATTTCTCTCTGCTTCAGAATCTCCATCCACGTGCAAGAGATGGATACTCCCGGGGAACTTCTTGTGACACGACGGGGCAGCCTCAGACCCACTCCTTCTGCAGAGGTTCCAGCAGCTGCTCATCCCAGTGAGCAGGACTTGCCTGGGCCCAGGTGCTGCTCTGAAGCTCCTGGGACTGAGCTGGGAGAACAAAACCCTAAAGAAGCCAAAGAGTTTACCCCACTGCAGAAGAGAAGCATTGAGGCGGGAGCAGATGCTGAGGAGAAGCAAGGGCCTGTGGCTGAGCCTGCCACAGGACCAAGCTTCACCAGGAGGGACAAGGGAGATGACCCTGCTGGGACCTCAGCCCTGCAGCAGGACAAAAGCTTAGGAGCAGGACATCCTGAGCCTGGGAATGACTGTGCAGCTGGGGTCACTCCAAGAACTGAAACAGGAAGGAGGACACCCCCAGATGATGGGGCTGGCAGCCTGGTTCTGGGTAAGTGAGGCTGATGCCTGACTTGACACAAGGCTAGAAGTGAGTGGATTGGCAGGCTATATTCCTGGGGCTGCTTTCTGCGGCTTTCAGGGTTGGTTAAGCAGGTCTGGGAGAGTCCAAGACTTGAGAACAGCCTACTTATACATCCTGGGGTTGGACACCAAGGCACAGAGACAGAAAGACTGAAAACTCTGATCAACTTAGTATTAGGGTAGGAGGGACCCATGTGGCCCATCTGGGTATATTTCTCAAAACCACCTGCTGCCTAGCTTTCACCATTGGTATTACTTTGGTTTGAGACAGGGAAGACTCCTGTCAAAAAAAAAAAAAGATGACATTAACTGGTATATATAACCATCATTGGCCATTTGTGACCAGGAAGCTGATTTTCTACAGGACAAGGAGGAGGTACTAGGACTGCTAACCTTACCATCCCAGGGTGGTGAGAGGCATCCTTGTGTTCTTGTGATCCCGAGGCTCTAAACCTCTCCATCCCTGGGGTTATCTTCCTTTGTCAGAGTTTGCAGAACATTGTGAGTGATCCCTGCAGCCAGAGAGCCAGCAGCATTCTCCTATGACAAGCTCTGAACAAATGCCAATCCAAGCCCCTGGTCTCCTGCCTCAGCATCTTCTAGCCCTTCATGTACAAATTGGTTTATGTTATTGTGTTTGATGCATATTCTGGATTCTGTTTTATTTCTTTACTCTATTTCATGAAGCATTTCTAGGAATTCCTGTCACCTAACCTAAGTTACCCTAAGTCATTAGTTTTGATCTTTCCAAGTATAGGCTATCCTTTATTTCTCCTCCAGATCCACCTGTGCCCTTGGAGCTGCCTCTTAGGGGCTCCATTGCAGGCTGTCTGGCCTTTGGTTAGAATCAGCTGAAGGTGAGAGAAGAGAAAGGATGGGGTGTTTATTTCTACAGCTGCCTCCCTATCACATCATCTTTTCTGATCTCTGTGGCCCTCTTTTGCCTTTAAAAATAGTCTCCTCCTTAAACTCTGCTGCTCAACCTTTTCAGTATGCACTGTTTCCTGCAGGCTTGCACTAACCCATCCAGGATTCCCCTTCTAGACCTCATGAGCAGGCTGCCAAAATGTCTTGACCTTGCAAACAGCACTGTCCTAGTGGCCAGGAGTCTTGGGTTTGCCTCCTATCACTGTCACCCTATGTAATCTTGGACCAGTCCCCTCACCTCTTTGAGACTCAGCTTCCTTCTCTGCCAAATGGGTGGCTCAAGTAAGATTATTCTTGAGAAGGGGCTTTCAAATCCTTGGGTTGTAGGAAAGGCAAAGGACTTGTTACCTGGTAAACCAAATGTAATTGAGTGGGGTCTGGGATGGGTGGCTGCATATAGGAAACTTACCGATCTCTTGTTTCCTAAACAGATGACAGCCCAGCTCCACCAGCCCCTTTTGAACACAGGGTGGTGAGTGTCAAGGAGACCTCCATCTCAGCAGGTTACACGGTGTGCCAGCATGAAGTCTTGGGAGGGTAGGTGGGCTGTCTGCCTTGATAAGGGGTGGGAGGAGGAATAGCAGGGCAGAACCACTTGGAGAATGAACTGGGGCACTGCTAGGTAATTCTAAGGAACTGGTTAATTGAACCAAAGCCAGGAATGGGATATCCTTTAGAGCATGAGAATGGGGTGAAGAGACTATCCCTAGAGTGCAGGATGCCCACATGGTATGGATGAGGGGAAGTGCAGGGGGACCCATGTGATACGATATGGGAGCATCTTGGAGATGGAAGGAGATCCAACATAGGTGCAGTGAGTATGCCCTCTCTGGTGCAGGATAGCTCATGTGGTGTGGAGTGGTGAGAGGCATGTTCCCTGGGGTGCAGTACTGGAGTAGGGCAGGGAGGGTTTCCCTTAGGGTGTAGAGTAGACCATATAGTGGGGATCATGAGGTTATTTTCTAGATGTCAGGGTAGCCCATGTGGTATGGGGCCTATGACTAGGATAGTGCAAATGGTATGTGTGTGTGTGGGGGCGGGGGGAGGAGTAGGACCAGGAAGCTCAGAGGACAGATGGCTTACCACATGTGGGGTGAGCTTCTTGTACTCTCAGCCTGCTGTGTTCATGTGTCTGTAGGGGCCGGTTTGGCCAGGTTCACAAGTGCACAGAGAAGTCCACAGATCTCCCACTGGCTGCCAAGATCATCAAAGTGAAGAGTGCTAAAGACCGGGTAAGGCATCTGCCAGCAGATCCTTCTAGCCAAGCTCAGGACTCCCTCACTTCCTTCACAGCCCCCTGCACCCACATTGCCCCTCCATACTGAGTAGGGAAGCTGCTGCCTTTCTTGCCTCTTTCCCATGAGTCCTATACTCCACTCAGCAGTCATCTCACACTCCTCAGTTCAGACACACCTGCCTACATGTGGGGGTCATGGCATGGCTTCTGCCAAGAGGCCTGTGGGACCCTGGGCAATAAGGCTCATTAATTCTTGGGCCTTGGGTTTAGTATCTTTTGAAATGGGTGAATCAAATTTAGGTCCTTCCTATTGCAAAACCCTGGTTTGGGTGGTGAGGCAAGGAGACCTGGTGTGACAATAGGATATTTTTCAAAAAGGATGAGGGGTGTCTGTCCGTCTGTCTTGGGAGGTACAGCTCTCTCCTCTTTCTGACCTATTTGCTTGCAAATTCTTTCTCCTCTGGTTCTACAAGGAGGATGTGAAGAATGAGATCAACATCATGAACCAGCTCAGCCATGTGAACCTAATCCAGCTCTATGATGCCTTTGAGAGCAAGAACAGCTTTACCCTGGTCATGGAGTAGTGAGTGTCATAGACACGGGGCAGTGGCTTCTCCTCAGGTTAGGTGCAAGGTTGGATCTTAGAGCCTTTGTTTATTCTAAGCAAAGCTCTTTGTCTCTCCTCCCCTCACTGGAACATAGACAACCATGCAATCCCCCTTTTTTTCTGGCTTGGCTGCTTGAACCCCAGTGTGGAGCATGGAGGACAAAGTCATTTTGTTACAAACAAGTGGCTACTGATTCAACTTGCAGATATTTTGTTAGTTTGACCTAAAGAATTTTTGCTGATTTTGAATGAGTTGTTTACACTGGGAAATTTAGGTAATAGAAATTGGAAAATCTAGATATCTGGCTTTTCTTGAAAACGAAAAGAGTCTAGTAATGCTTGGCCTGCATTCCTTGCTAGAAACGGTGAGCTGGAGCTCTCAGTGACTGCCATTTGTGGACAGGACAGCCACTCATTTGCCGCAATGCCTACCATTTCCCACTACCCTGGGCATTGAAGTTGTGGTCTCAGAGGCCATTTAGAATTAGGCTCATGTGGTTGTTTTGCTTTCGGCAGGGCTGAGGAGAGCAAATCATTTGTCATATGGTGTCTCTATCAAAAGAAAAACAAAAGACTAAGGATTGTGTGTTTTCATAAAACTTTTATCTCACATACGATCAAATTTGCCCATTAAGGCTTCTTGCCACTTAGGAACTAGTTGGCTCCCCACTAAGTAGAAGAGTTTGCAGCCCTGATTTAGATTATTCAGAGTCAGGGATTATCAATCTGGGAGACTATCCCATACTTTTTGCCAGGAATGGGCTAGAACACAGGTATTCCAGAGAACTCAGATGGCAGTGGCAGTAGCCCTGTGACCCATGGGATACAGCCGACTTTGTATTCTCTTAGGCCATTGTTTTTTGGTCCTTGGCAAAAACAGTGGGCAAATCCTTTGAGAACTTTGCTTATTTAGCTGCCTGCCTCTCCCTTTCCTCTGTTAGTGTGGATGGGGGTGAACTTTTTGACCGGATCACAGATGAAAAGTACCATCTGACGGAACTGGACGTGGTCTTGTTCATCAAGCAGATCTGCGAAGGTGTGCATCACCTCCACCAGCACTACATTCTGCACCTAGACCTCAAGGTAAGTTCTAGGGATGTGGTAGGTGGGAGCCCAGTTCTTGAGCCTCTGATGTACTCCCATCCCATCACTGAGAGCTCTGTTAATAGATAATCCTGGTTTCCCTTTCTGGCTCCCCTATTTTCTAGTTCTGGAGCCTAGAGCAGACTAGTCATGTCAACTTCCTGAGCCTCTATTTTTCCATCTGTAACTTGTGGATAATTGTATCTTTTTAATTATTATTTGAAGATTAAATGATACAATAACTTTTTTCTTTAAAAATATCTTCAAGATTAATTTTTTAAAAGTTCTAAAGGTTACATATTCTAAATGTGTATCAAATACACAGTATAGAAGTTCTTCCCATTCCACACTGAGTGCTCTCTATGAGCAACATGGCATGATACACAAACCTATAAATATACACAAAAGGGATCATATATATATATGTATCTTGGTTTTGAGCTTCCTTTTTTTTTTTTGCAGAGGTGGTATTGGGGACTAAATCCAGGGGTATTGTACCCCTATCACAGAGCTATATCTCCAGCTTTTTAAATTTTTTTGTTTTGTAATTTTGAGACAGGGTCTCACTAAATTGCTGAGGCTCACCTTGAACTTGGAATCTTCCTGCTTTAGCCTCCCAAGTCATGGGGATTATACGCATGTGCCACCATGCCTGGCTTAAGCTTACTTACTTAAATTCAACAATACAGAGTAGACATCTTTCCCCATTCTTTTTAAGGGCCATGTGATATTCCATTGAATAAACATATTACACTTTCATTTGTCTCTTGAGGAGTGTTCTTGGTGTGACATGTACATAAAGTCCCAGGCAAAGTCCCTGGATGGTAGTTAGATAAATTTCTGTGATTTTCCATTCCACTGGACAAACATGAGGGTGTTTCTCTACAACTCATTTCAAGAAGGGAAAGAATTTCAATGTAGAAGATGGGAAGTGGTTTGATGCATCTGTAGGGCTGTGCTTTGCTCCTTCTGACCATTTTTCCTAATTGGCATCTAACTATTAGGTTAGGATACTCAGAAAAATAACAGAGATGGTGGGGAACTGGCCTCAGTCTTCTTCTGCTCATTAGTACTAATGCCAAGGCTTCTGGGTCCATCTTTCTCTGTGGGGTAAAAAATTACGGAAAGCTTAGGAATATGCTCTGTAGTTCTGTGTCAAAGACCAACCAGCTTTGGGGGCAATTTCTGTGACCCCAATAATACAGTTAATTTTTACCAAGGCCCATTTCCCAGTGACAAGATGGGACACATTGGTTTTTCTCCTGTCTGGTTGTGAAACTTGGGAGAGTTCCTTGAGCTCACCCATTGCAAGATGGGGAATAAGAATACCTGAATAAGAATACCTATTTCCGGGGCTGGAGATGTAGCTCAAGTGGTAGCACGCTCGCTTAGCATGCGTGAGGCACTGGGTTCATTTCTCAGCACCATATAAAATAAAACAAAGATATCGTGTCCACCTAAAACTAAAATAAATAAGTAAATATTTTTAAAAAAGAATAACTATTTCTTAGGAGTATTGTGTGGATTAAAAATGGTGGAAGAGTTTCTGAGCTGCACTGTCCAATACAGTGGCTATCAAGCACTTGAAATGTGGCTAGTTTAACTGAGGAATAAGATTTTAAGTTTTATTAATTTTAATTTAAAAACTGATACTTGATTCAGTTATTGGAAAATTTTTAGTAGTATGTCTGGAACAACTTGGGTTTATTTTTTATCTACAAATTTCATGGACTCTAAATACAAATAAAATAGCTCTGATGAAAACTTAGGATCTGAATTGAGATGAATTCTTTGGTTTAAAATACTGAATTCCAGGGGCTGGGATTGTGGCTCAGCAGTAGAGTGCTTGCCTCACACGTGTGAGCACTGGGTTCAATCCTCAGCACTACATAAAAATAAACAAAATAAAGTTATTTAAAAAACAAACATATTTGTCTTTAAAAAATACTGAATTTCAGGGAACTAATGTGAAAAAAGAATGGAAAATATTTCCTTGATATTTTAGTATTTATAACCTATTGAAATGTTACTATTTTGGATGTATTGAATTAAATAAAATATTTTATTCAAATAAATAAATTCTAGAAAACATTTGGAGATGAATGAAAATGGAAAAAAAACCCCACCAGCATAGCAAAACTGATGGAATATATCTAAACCAGGAAGGAAATTTATAGTTGTAAATATCAGTATTAAAAAGAAAGAAATAGTTGGATATAGTGTCAACCACCTGTAGTCTCAGCTTCTTGGGAAGCTGAGCCAGGAGGATCGCTTGATGTCAGGACTCTATTAAAAAAATGAAAACAGGAGTTGGGGCTGTAGCTCAGTGGCAAGTGCTTGCATGAGGCACTGGGTTTGATCCTCGACACCACATAAAAATAAACAAATAAAATAAAGGCATACTGTCCATCTATAACTATAAAAAAAATTTAAAAAAGAAAACAATCAAAGGAAGAAAGATCTCAAATCAATAAGCTAACCTACCACCTTAAGAAACTAGGAAAAAAAAAGCCAAGTTAATTCAAAGCAAGCAGTGTGAGGGAATAATAAAAATTACAGCATAAATAAATGAAATAGAAAAACAAGAGAAAAATCAATGAAACCAAAAGCTGGTTCTTTGTAAAGTCAATAGATTAGCAAATCTTTAGTTATATGACTGAGGAGGGGAAAAAAGAGAGCACCCAATGACTAAAATCAGAAATAAAATAGGATATCACTACTGGCCTTAGAAAAATAAAAAGGATGACCTAGATGAAATGGACAAATTCCTAGGAAGATACAAAGTAATGAAGCTGACTCAAGAAGAAATAGAAATAGATGAGGGTTGTAGCTCAGTGGTAGAATGCTTGCCTCACATGCCTGAGGCCCTGGGTTCGGTCCCCAGCACCATATAAAAATAAACAAATAAAAATACAGATATTGTGTCCATCTACAAATAAAAAAATATTTTAAAAAAGAAAAAGAAATAGAAATAGGTCTATAACTAGTTAAAGAGATTTAATAAGTAATCAAAAACTACCCACAAAGAAAAGACCAGGCTTATATAACTTCACTGGTGAATTTTACTAAATGCTTATAGAAAAATCAATACCAAGCTTTCACAAACTTAAAATATGAAAGAGGAATAAAAATTATTATTATTACTCATTTTATGAGGTCAGTAACCTGATTTCAAAACCAAACACATCACAAGAAAAGAACCTATACCTTTATGAAGATTGATATAAAATTTCTAGATAAGATATTAACAAATGGAATATATCAACATATGAAATGAATGAATACACATAATGGAGTGGAATTTGTCCCAAGAATTCAACGTTGGTTTAACATATAAAAATCAAAATAGAATAAAAGACAAAAACATATGATCATTTATATAGATTCAGAAAAACACTAGATGAATCAACATTTTTTTATGATAAAATAGAAACAGAAGGGAACTTCCTTAATTTGGTAGAGACCATCTCTGAAAAACTTTATAGCTAACATTTTATTTAATGGTAGAAGACTTAATGCTTCTAAGTCTAAGTTCATACCCTCTAAGTTCATATCAAGACAAGGATTTCTCTTCTTACCATTTCTATTAAATAATTTACTAGAAGTTCTAACAAGAGCAATTAGGGAAGAAAATAAATAAAAGTCATTTTTATTGGAACAGAAGAAATAAAATATTTATATTCACAGATGACATGGTCTTGTATATGGAAAAATCCTAAAGAGGAAAGACTGGAAAATTAATAAACTCAGCAATGTTGCAGGATATATACAAAAACCAATTGTATTTCTATAGTAGCAATGAATAATGTAGAAGTCAACTTAAGAAAACAATTCCATTTGCAATAGTATCAAAAGAATCAAATACTTAGGAACAAGTTACAAAAAATAAATGTAAGACTTATACTCCAAAAACTACAAAAAAATGTTAAAAGAATGTAAAGAAGACCTAAATAAATGTAAAGGTACTCCATTGTCATAAGTTGGAAGATTCAATACTGTTAAGGTGGCAGTACTCCCCAAATTCATCTACAGATTCAACATAATCCTAAAAATCATGGATGGATTCTTTTTCAGTTATTCATAAGCAAATCCTAAGATTCAGATGAGAATTCAAGGGACTCAAAATAGCAGAAACAGTCTTGAAAAAGACCAGGTTTGGAGGACTCATATTTTCTGGTTTCCAAACTTTCTGCAAAGCTAGAGAGATCAAGACTGGAGTAAGGTTAAACATATAGATCAATGCAACTCAGCAGAGAGTCTGGAAATAAACCCTTTCATTTATGGCTAATTGATTTGACTGTGGTGCCATGATAGTGGGAAAAAGTCTTATCAAAAAGTGCTGGGATACCATGCTAGATTATCCATGTGCAAAACAAATGAAGTTATAACTTTATCTCACAACAAGATTAACTCAAAATGGACCATAGATATAAATGTAAGAGTTAATACTACAAAATTATTAGAAGAAAACAGGAATAAATCTTTTATGATCTTGGATTAGGCAATGGTTACTTAGATATGACATCAAAAGCATAAGCAAAGAGGGGCTGGGTTGTGGCTTAGTGGTAGAGTGCTCATCTAGCATGCATGAGGCACTGGGTTTGATCCTCTGTACCACATAAATATAAAATAAAGATATTGTGTCCACCTGAAACTAAAAAATAAATATTTTTTTAAAAAGCATAAGCAAAGGAAAAAAAGGGCAAATTAGACTTCATCTAAGGAAAAAACCTTAAATGTGCTTTAAAGGATACCAACAAGAAAGTGAAATTAAATAAGTGCTGGCGAGGATGTGGGGGAAAAGGCACACTCAAACATTGCTGGTAGGACTTCAAATTGGTGCAACCAATCTGGAAAGTAGTATGGAGATTCCTTTAAAAACTTAGAATAGAACCACCGTTTGACCCAGCTATCACACTCCTTGGTCTATACTCAAAGGACTTAAAAACAGCATACTACAGGGACACAGCCACATGTTTATATTGCACAATTCACAATAGCCAAACAGTGGAACCAACCTAGATGCCCTTCTATAGATGAATGGATAAAGAAACCGTGGTATATATACACAATGGAATATTACTCAGCATTAAAAGAGAATAAAATTATGGCACTTACAGGTAAATGGATGGAGTTGGAGAATATCATGCTAAGGGAAGTAAGCCAATCCCCCAAAACCAAAGGCCTAATATTTTCTCTAATAAGTGGATGCTAATCCATAATGAGGGGTGGGGTGCAGGGGACAAGTGGAGAAACTTTGGATTGGGCAAAAGGGAAGGATGGGAGGGGATATGGGGCAACGAGATGGACATCATTATCTTAGGTACATGCATGATTGCACGAATGGAGTGACTCTACTTCGTGTACAACCAGATAAGTGGAAAATTGTGCTCCATTTGTGTACAATGAATTGAAGAGCATTATAGTGTCATGTATACTGACTAGAACAAATTTTTTAAAAAAGAAAGTAAAATGAAAGCTCACAGAATGGGAGAAAATATTTCCAAATCATATATCTGATAAGCGACTTATACCTAGAATATAAAAATAACTCCTACAACTCAATAATAGAAAAGCAAATAAGCCTTTAAAAATGAAGAGCGTATTTAAATAGACACTTATCCAATGAAGACATATAATGGTCAAGAAGTATGTGAAAAGATTCTCAATACCATTAGTCATTAGGGAAATGTAAATCAAAACCACAATGAGGTACTACCTCATATCCACTAAACTGACTAAAATAGAAAATTGAAATGACAATAAGAAGTAATGGTTAGGTGTGGAAAAATTGGAAAACTCATACATTACTGGTGGGTTATAAAATTGTGCATCTACTTTTAAAAAAGAGCTGGGTGGATAGTACCTAAAACTGTTAAAAATAGAATTACCATATGACTATGCAGTTTTACTCCTAGTTATATGTCTCAGAGAATTGAAACACAGTCAGCATGAAAACTTGTAAACAAATGTTTTTAGCAGTCTTATTTGTAATAGCCAAAAAGTACAAACAACCTGGATGTTTATTAACCAATGAAGAGATAAAATGTAGCACACATCCATATAGCAAATACTATTTAGCCATGAAAAGAAATGAGGTACTGATATATATTACAACATGATGAACCTTGAAAAATTATAGCAAGTGAAAGAAACTGGATGTCCAAGGCCGCATATATATTATATGATTCCATGTAGGTGAGATGTCCAGTATAGGCAAATCCAAAGAAACAAAATAACACTAGTGGTTGCCAGTATTTGAGGGGGAGGAAAGAATAGACAGTGTCTTATGATGGGAATGATTTTTATTTCTTAAGATTTTTTTAGCTGTAGATCGATACAATATTTTATTTTTATTTAATTATTTTTATGTGGTGCTGAGGATAGAATCTAGTACCTCATGTATGTGAGGCAAGCGCTCCACAACTGAACTACAACCCCAGCCCTTGTTTTATTTTTTGAAGTGATGAAAATGTTCTAGAATTAGTGGTAATAATTGCACAATTCTGTGACTATACTAAAAGTCAC